TTTCATAAGGTAGAAATCTGTTTGTTTGTTAGGTTTTTTTCTGAAGTCATATTAATTTTCCTTATCTTGTATTCACTTGCAGATAACCGAGCACTATGCTCTCGCCAAATGAAGCAAATAGACAGACTTACAACACGACTGTTAGAGCATGATTATAGGTAGTCTCTTAGAAATATATCTTAGCAATATTTAAGTAATTTATTTGTAAAAGTGATTGTTAAGAGATAGTATTTTTGAGTTAAGATTTTTGTGTGATTAATGGTAGGCTCTTAACATGTGGTTCTTAGAAAAAAAATATTAATATAAAAACAAAAATTATAATTATAGAAAATTTAATAATTGTTGCAAATTAAAAAAATTAAAACATACATGAGATACAATTTATAACATAAATAACATAAAACACAAAATTGCGGCTTGCTGACGATCATCGTAATAGTCCAAAGAATTATCCAACGCTTGCTGGAAAGCATTGGATAATTCTTCGTCCAACGCTTCTTCGAAATTGTAATTGGAAGATGATGCCATTTTGTATGTAGAATTTTTAGGAAGAAAAGGTTTTGGGTTTAGAACAAGGATTTGACGTGAAAAGAAATTGTTGGTTTTAGGAAGAAGGATTTTTACGAAGAAGGATTTGGATTTTTTTTAGGAAGAAATTGTTGGTTTTAGAAACAAGGATTTGGATTTTTTTTAGTATATTGTTGGTTTTAGAATATTTAGGAAGAACAATTTGGATTTTTTTTAGGAAGAAATTTGTAAGAAAAAAAGAGACAGAATACAAGATAATTGAAGGTGATATTACAAGTTGATATTCATCAATTCCACACTTTGCAATTGAGGAGTCATCGGTTAAAGCTAGGTGTGTGTTTGTACAAAAGACCGAAATCGTGTAATTTGATTTAGAAGTTCATGGTTTGATGCTCTGTTTGTAGAAAAGTGTAAAATGATTTCAGATTACAACATTGCAGCTCAGTTCATTATGTGTCAATATTAGATCATAACTAATACTACAACTACAAAACCATGAAAAGAAGCAGTGACTAAATGAAAAACTCACTCATAATTCCATGAAAGCAAGTCATTGTTATATGTTTCCATGTAAAACTCAAAATGAAAAAGTAAGAGAAGAGTTGAGTAGCATACAGGATGACACAGACTTCATCTTCCTTTAGCTCTCCGGTGGGATCCACTGTGCCCATAAGGTAGTAAGATTCGGTCACAGGAAGCTTGCCTCACTCATAATTCCATGAAAGCAAGTCATTGTACAATGAGTTCTCTTTCCCATACTTCTTCTCAAAGATGTCTCGAAGATCTCCAAGCTCAGGAATCTCAGAGCATCTAGGTGCAGCAACAATCAAACTAGCAATACCTTCCTTAAGATCCACAAGACATTGCCTAAAAAAACTAGCAATACCAAATTCATTTCATGACGAATGCAGCAACCGATAAGGCTCCGATGTAAGTACCAGTCAAGCAAAGAAAGAAGAATGCCAAGAAGCCTCCAGCAACAGCAAGTGAAATCAGAAGAGAGATTATGATAGCATTAGCTGTTGCAGCTACAAAGAAGAGTGTGAAGACAACCAAAGCCATTGTTGTAAGAAGAAATATTGTTCCCATCTGCAACAAGAATAACAAGATAATAACAAATCAATATAATATGAGATACCCACGAAACTTGACTCAAATGGGTTCAATAAAACACTAAACTTTTCAATAAAGCATCAAACTTTTCATCAATGGTAAAGAGACACAGAACCAAGACGATTTAGGACACAAAATGTTAATTTACTTCAGGAAATCGAATTGAAGATAAAGGAAGGCTAAATTGAAATTGAAATTAGTCTCTAATTAGGTTCAATCATTGATCAAAGTCCACTTACAGTGATGACAAGCAGAGCACGAAGCGAGCTGCTTCTACGAGTCCATAGAAGAATCTCGCGTCCTGTTCTTTCAGAAGCTTCTCGAAGCTTAGGCCCATTTTCGGCGACGGAGTTTCTTACACGTTCAAGAAACGAAGACGACGCATCACCAGTTTTCGAATTTGGGAACAAAATCGAACCTGAGACAAATCAAGGAATAGAGACTCTTCAAATCCTCATGCTTCTCTATAGAGTCCGGTTTACGATAACCATTCTTCGTTCCTCCGTTGACAATTTCTTCTCCGACATCATCGCCACCGACAACGTCGACAATTTCTTCTCCTGTTTTTCTCTGTGTGGGGAAATCGCGAAGAGAGAGAGAAAACGCGACACCTGACACCTTTTAACACTGAAAACGTTCCTTAGTTAAAAGCAGCATTATCAATTTAATTTAAATCATTTAAAAACCTAAGATTCACTTAACATCCCACCGATAATCATGCTCTTAGTCTCTTGGAAGTTCAATAGTGGAAAGAGTGGACCATGTAAGACACAAATCAAGAGTTAGAGAGTAGGTAGGAGGAAAATGTTGAGATGATGCAAGTTTAGGTGTGGGGTTAGTTTTGAGATAGCTATAGGTGATTTCTCAAATAGCTGACACTTAGTCTCTCTACTTCCATAATGTACGTCTCTTCTACGCCAAAAATTCTCACCCCCAAATTTTCCTTCCAACGCTTTTCCTCACCTCATCAATTTTTCTTACGTTTCGAGTACCACCTATTTCAGCAACATTAAATATTGTGTAATAGCATTGACTGTCAATTTTTTAATTAAAACTAAACATAATTTTACATAAATCACACGAAGCTTCTATAGAAGTTCAAGAAGAGGAAAATTCATTTGAGTTTCTATTTGAAACCGTACCTTAAAGGCTAAGGCTATAGATTAAATGGTGAAATAATGATATGAATACAAATGGAAAAAAAAATAAGAAATAACGCGTTCTTTATTAAGGTATTTGATTGATATCATATAAGCAAGCAAGCGGGTGTAACACAGAATAAAATAAAATAAAAAGGCTTCTTCTATAGGTTGGTAAGCGGCAATCCAGCTGCCATTTGCCTATTTGACTTCCCCCATTCGATCATGGTGAGCTCGTCTTCTCTCTTCTCCTCTTATCTCTTTCTCTGCCATTTTCTTTTGCTTTAAAGCTCTCTCAATCATGAACATGAAGATCCCCATCACAACATTTCAGTCATCCTCATGAATAATTCTACATCAGGTTTCTTCTCTTTCCCTTTCTGATTTTCAACACTCTTACCACATTTCTACTTTTGTGTTATATATCGGTTTTTGTTACACATTCTTGCAAAAATCTTCGAATATAAGGATTCTTGATTGAAATGTGATGATTTTGTGTTGATAACTTGATATCTGGTGTGGATTGAATGATTAGTGATTATCTCTGTTAAATTTTGTCTGATTGTGTTTCTGTTTGTGTTGTTGACATGGAATGTGGGCAGTGAGGAGGCTGGTTTCGTCTAAAGCAATGAAATGTTTCTACTTCAGCAAAGACAAAACTCAGGATGATGAAGCTAAGACGAGAAAGTTTGGTTCCATTACGATGGCTAGAGGAGGATCAGGGTCTGAATTTAACTCTGATACAAGTACTGCTACTTCCATTACTTCTTCCTTGCACGTTCTCTCAGAGACACACAGTAACAATCTCAAAGTCTTTGCCCTCGATGACCTTAAAACTGCTACCAAAAATTTCAGCCGCTCATTGATGATCGGTGAAGGTGGCTTTGGCGGTGTCTTTCGTGGCGTGATTCAGAACCCTCAAGATTCTCGTAAGAAGATTGAAATTGCAGTTAAACAACTCAGTAGAAGAGGTCTCCAGGCAAGCAAATCTTTCTTTATTCTTACTTTGGCTTTTTCTTTGGTTCGGTTCTGATTTGCACAGAGCCTTCAATAATCTAACAACATAATTACATATGAATGTATTAACAGGGTCATAAAGAATGGGTGACAGAGGTAAATGTACTGGGAGTAGTGGAGCATCCGAATCTGGTGAAGCTGATCGGTTATTGCGCTGAGGATGATGAGAGAGGGATCCAAAGGCTACTTGTTTACGAATACGTACCAAACAGAAGTGTTCAAGACCATTTATCCAATCGTTTTATTGTCACTCCTCTCCCTTGGTCCACCAGATTAAAGATTGCTCAGGACACTGCTCGAGGACTTGCTTATCTTCATGAAGGCATGGAGTTTCAGGTGTGCCTTCTCTATCCATGATCACAAATGCCTGTCAACTTTTTTGAATGTGTTATTGATATGTATTCATCTTATATGCAGATCATCTTTAGGGATTTCAAATCCTCCAATATTCTTCTTGATGAGAATTGGAATGCAAAGCTCTCGGATTTCGGACTGGCTCGAATGGGTCCTTCTGATGGAATCACTCATGTCTCCACTGCGGTACGCCACACGTGACTTGTTATGTCTCCATTGATTGTTTGAAACAATTGAAGTCTTAATGTTTGATTGGTAGGCAATAACCAAACTATGAATCCACAGGTTGTAGGGACCATTGGTTATGCAGCACCGGAATATATCCAAACAGGACACCTCACTGCCAAGAGTGACGTGTGGAGCTACGGAATCTTTCTATATGAACTCATCACAGGAAGACGACCTTTTGACCGTAACCGCCCAAGAAACGAGCAGAATATCCTGGAGTGGATCAGACCACACTTGTCCGACATAAAGAAGTTCAAGATGATCATCGACCCAAGACTTGAAGGAAACTACTACCTCAAATCAGCATTGAAGCTAGCTGCAGTTGCTAACCGGTGTTTGATGGTGAAGGCGAAGGCTAGGCCAACAATGAGTCAGGTTTCAGAGATGTTAGAAAGGATAGTGGAAACATCAGATGATGCTCCTTCAGGACTGCCATTGATGAAGAGCTTGACACCTAAAGCTGCATTCGAGGCCTCAAGAAGAGAGAGAGTTAAAAGAAGATTTGTTGAACTTTTGATCGGAGAAAATGGTTGTCCCAATTTACCCACTTGGTCTCCTAAACTTGTTACTTCTACTTGATTTTTTGAGAGAACAAACTCACCACCGCTTGTGTTATGGAAAAGGGGAAGCGTAGTATCATTGTCGTTTTGCTATGAATAAAACGGCATGCAGTTCACCCACAATAAACACCGTGTCGTTTGCTGTTGAAAGTAACAATATCACTGTCTTCTCTGATTTTTATGTTTCCGATTAAAGCTCCGTCACAATCCAGCTCCGATAATTGGGGTTTTAGGGTTTTCCGATTTGTTCCACAATGCTCTATATTTGCCGCCATGCCAAAACCCTAGCTTCCTCCTGCACCAACCTTACTCAGAAACGAACCTACGTCGACGTTTACATGAAATGGAAGAGAGATCCTTATTTCGACAACATCGAACACATTCTCCGATCATCTCAGCTCAAATCCGTCATCGGTCTCAAGAACTGTATCGTCCAGGATCCTAATCGCTGCATTCCGATATCTGCCATCTCCAAGAAGACGCGTCAATTCGATGTATCAACCAAAATCGCTCAGTTTTTAAGGAAATTTCCGTCAGTCTTTGAGGAGTTCGTTGGTCCAGAGTATAATCTCCCATGGTTTAGATTGACACCAGAAGCTACAGAGCTCGATAGGCAAGAGAGAATCGTTTACCAAACTTCCGCAGAGGATTTGCGTGATAGGTTGAAGAAATTGATTCTGATGAGTGAAGATAATGTTTTGCCACTAAGTATAGTTCAAGGAATGAAATGGTATTTAGGTTTGCCTGATGATTACTTGCAATTTCCAGAGATGAATTTAGATTCTTCGTTTAGGTTTGTGGATATGGAAGATGGAGTTAAAGGTTTAGCAGTAGACTATAATGGAGATAAGGTTTTGTCTGTGTTGCAGAAGAATGCAATGAAGAAGAGACGAAGAAGAGGAGAATTGGATTTAGAAGAGATTGAGTTTCCTCTGTTTCCATCAAAAGGTTGTAGATTGAGAGTCAAAATTGAAGATTGGTTAAAAGAGTTTCAAAAGCTTCCTTATGTATCACCATATGATGATTATTCATGTTTGGATTCAAGTAGTGATGTAGCAGAGAAGAGAGTTGTTGGGTTTCTTCATGAATTGCTTTGTCTTTTCGTCGAGCATTCCGCAGAGAGGAAGAAGTTGTTATGTCTCAAGAAGCATTTCGGATTGCCGCAAAAGGTTCATAAGGCGTTTGAGAGACATCCGCAGATTTTTTACTTGTCTATGAAGAACAAAACTTGTACAGCTATTCTAAGAGAGCCTTATAGAGATAAAGCCAGTGTAGAAACACATCCTGTGTTAGCTGTAAGGAAGAAATACATCCAGTTGATGAAGAATTCAGAGTTGATTCTGAAGAGTAGAAGGAATCGTTTCGGGTTTAGGGACGAAGGGATTGTAGAGAAAGATTTGGATTTGGATTTTGAAGGCTAAGGCAAAATACTGTACCTTACAAGAATCAGTTTATGACCGATCTTTTATTAATCAACTTTCAAACCAGTTTTAAGATGCAGATCATCACTCAGGATATTACAAAAGCTTTGAATGCAAGAATGAATTGCTATACGAAAACATAAGACAAAACAGAAAAAGAAAAAAAGAAAAAAAAAAAAAAGGTATTCCCCTGAAGACAAAATGGGTATAAGAGTTTGTAAGAAAAAACAGAGAAATATTTTCAGCTGCTCAATTTCTCAACGATCTTGGAGAGAGCTGAATATGAGCCAATGACTGAAGATATTGCTCCTACTATGATGATTAATACACACAACATCATCTACAATAAACCAACCAAAACATTGTTGATGAATCTTCTTAAAACACTAGAAACAATGTTTTTGTGGGAAACTAGTATAAATACAGAATTGCTAAGAAGATTTACCTGGGTCGGGGTAACTTTTCTCCGTACGATGCTCAAGAAACACGCTGGAGGAAGTATTAGAGTCTGCACAAAACAAAATATGAACTTATATATATCCAAACTTAAGATCCTCATTTGTAGACAAACCAGAATTTGAAGGAAAAGATAGCTTACGACGAGCATAGTCAACAACGATCCAATCAATGACATGACAAGACCTGCAAGATTTTTGAGTATAAAGTATGATTTTCAAGAAAATGAGCTTTTGGATCAAAATGGTAAAGAGGATCTTACCAAAGAAGGGAATTGCAAGACCAACAAGCAGCGTAGAGAAGACCAATGCGGTTCTAATGCCGATGGCGTACCAATGTGACCTTATATGCCTTGATGGTATCAACTCCTCAAGACTCATTGCTACTGGAGAAATGGTCAAAGCATATTTGGTAAATGGATTGACCACCTGTGAAACGGTTTAAAACAAAACGGTTTTAGTTCCAATGTGATAACCAACATGCAAGAACTAATACATAGTGGAAAGAAAACATATTTGATCCACTTACCGTAGTCCACACGGCAATCTTAGTAGCAACCAAATCTTGAGGCAAGTTGAGAGTAAACTGTGATTGTGTTGATTCTCCAAACATCGTATAACCCATAACAGCGACGCCGGCATACATCAGAGTACAAATACCAAAACTGCACAATATTATCAATCTTTCATCTATCAAAATGGTTGCATATTTTCTTGAAGTTTGCATAGGCAAAAGTCGAAGCGGTCTAGAAGATAAGAACTTGTTGAAAGCGACATAAGCTTACCATGTCAAGAGAACAGCAGGGTATTGAGATGGTTTGGCCATAGAAGTATAAATGTTGGGAAAAACAGCATGTCCTGAGTAGCAGTAACCATATAGTCCTATAGCTACAGGTAAAGTTGACAAGTTTAGTGTAGTTCCTTTGCTGTGAATTCCAACTTCATCTACCAAACCAATCCAAAACAAACACAAAACCACTAGCACCGATGCAATCACCCCTCCAGCTGAGATATAACTCAGTACACTGAGATCTCTGAGCCAAACGGTGGGGAGAACCGCGAGAGTGGTTAGCAATGCAAATAGATGGCGGGCATCTAACTGAAACCCTCCAATACTTAAGGCAGCATTTGGATATAATGAAGACAAATTATCACTCTCCAATATTATATATTCCACACAGCAAGCCTGCAAATATGAATACAATCATGTCAAGTATGAAAATGTATCAATATTATCTAGTATCTACTATATAGTCACTATCAAACTAATCATTTCACACTAGTAACTTTTAAGAAGCTTTTTGGGGATCATTTCCATCTAAAAATATAGTATTTTTGCTGCTTTAGTGACGTCAAAAGCAGCTTTAAGAAGGAACAAATCGAAACAAAGAGAAAAAGTTTAAAGCAGCTTCAGGTAGTGCCAAATCTAGAACTAGTGGCAGAATGTATGGGACCCTCAGCTAACGTGTTTCACAACATGGGGTCACATACTTAAGATCTCTTTTGTTGTTTTTTAAAAACACAATC